TGGAGGGCCTAAAAATAGAACTTTTTTATGTTATACACTAAACACAAAAACAGTTGTAAGGTAGGCAAAAATACAATGCAAGAAAGGGGTAAAAAGGAGCAAGTTTCTTACCCTTGAAGAGCCTCTTCAACAATGGAGCTCCAGCAGCTTTTTTAGGTTGAAACCAGCTTCAAAACCTCCAAAACAACCCTTTGGCCCTCAATAACCAAGAAAATGTATAGTAGTGTGTGTTTGTGTACAATACTATGAACAAACACACCTAGAACACTCAAGAAAGAGAGGTATAGAGATAGAATATATAAATTCCTGACCCTAATATCAGAGCTCTCTAACTATGTTGTCTAACCCTAAATCCAAGAGAGGAGACTCTCTCTTATAGAACTCTCTCTTGTAAAGCTTGTCAAATAAGCTTGTCAAGAGAGAAATCCCTCCATACACGTGTATGGAGGAGAACAGAGTGGGTGCCAGCTATCACAGCTGGCACAAAATATCTACTAAAAGTAGATGAACAGTGATCGGCCATTCAAAATTGCCATTTTGGCAAAATAAATGGCTGACCGGCAACAAAGAGTGCCGACCGGCAATATACATTGCCGATGGCACAAAATCACTGGCCAGTGGCCTCAAGCCATGGCCGATGATGTGTGGGGATACCTCACAAGGCATTCCCTGCCCCTCCAAGGCAAAACACAAGTGTTTGGTGCAAAACCAGACACAACACGGTCGAGTCGAGAGATCCTGAGGCAAGGCGCGCAACCGAAACCTCCGGGAACTCACGACGAACACAAACAAGGGTAATCACCAAGTGTTCCAATGGTGACGTCCAAGTCTTGAGGACGGTCAAAAATGGGGTGTCTACAATCTTGTTCGGGGACAACCCGTGTTTACCTCACTCTCACTGGTTACAAGACGAAAAAGAATCAGACAGAATTCACCAATTCAGTTTTTACAGCAGTCGCCCCTCAATTCACCTAGCAGTCATCTACTTCTAGCCTAGGACAAGATCAATCGCTTATTCGAATGACACTGTGTCCCCCATTCAGTATGAAATAACTGATACATCATCGGTAGTAGACAGTTGAGACCCTACAACAAGATGCTACTCGCCAAGCCGAGGTTATAACTAGGCTACAACACCAGCAACCCCAACCGGCTGTGGCCTCTGTATCCCATGCACCTGCCGTAAGTATCCCAGCACTCGGAGCCATCACTCATACTACCAATGTCCAAGAAAACCAACGTAGCCAATCCCAGCATAAGCCTCTAAAACCCCTGTTTATCAAACCGAGGCTCCGTTTGAGTTTGAGGTTGACCCAACTATACTCAAGGTCAATAAACTAGAAAATTTATTCATGAGGGCATAAGGGGTTAACTCTATCCTGGACATAGAGGACGGGTATACTAATTTTGCAGTTACATTGCCAGATCGGTTTAAAATGTCGCACATCGATCGATTCGACGGCTCCAGAGATCCAATGGCTCACTTGCATCTGTTCTATGATATCTTACGGCCGATGGGCTTGACCAGACTACAGAAGCTGTCTCTCTTTGGTCACACCATGTCTAGTATAGCAGCCATTTGGTATGCTAAGTTGGAAGACTCTGTCAAACAGAATTGGGAGGAGATGGTCGACGCCTTCATTGCTCAATATTCGTACAATACTTAAATTGAGGTCACAACTCGTGATCTTGAGGCAACACGCCAAGAACTGAAGGAAGGCATCTTTGAATTTGTGACCAGATGGAGAGCTAAAGCCTCGATGATGACTACAAGGCCTTCCGAGAAGGATCAGATCAGGATGGTTGTCTAGGATCTACATGGAAACTTGCTGTGAAAGATGATTGTCCTACCTCTGTGCACATTTACAGAACTCCATGAAATGGGAGTACAAATTGAAGACACCATGAAACAGGGGCTTATTACAGATGAGAAAGAGCCGACAAAAAGGCTGTTTGTTTGTAGTTCCAACGCTGTTAGTGGTAGCACAGCTGGGAGGCCATCTGATGTAAGCATTGTTACCACAACCAAGACTGCCGACCCCTTTGCCAACATGAGCTCACAAACACCGTCTAACCCGGCCCGATCCTTGAAGAATTTCAACTAACTTTACATGACCTTGTCTCAAGACATGAAAGTGCTAGTCAAGAAAGGGCACCTCAAACCCTTAGAACCTCATCCATTTCCTGATCCTCTTCCACCCAAACACAATCCTGCAAAATACTGTGCATTTCACTAACAGCATGGTCATGACATCGACTAGTGCTTTTGATTGCATCATGAGATTCAGGATCTCATTGACAACATGGTGATCGCTTCACCTCTAAAACCAAACATAACCACAAATCCACTCCTAGCCCATAACCAAGTCCTCCCACCTTGAAATCTCAACCTGATCCATACACTGGCCACCCCTTATGACCCCAGCGTATATATTACTCCCTTTCACCTACCAAAACTGACGCTGTTCATTCTGGAAAACGCAGATCTATGCATGATGGATGCATCCAACCCTCAACCCAAGCCTGTGGTGATGAGACTTACAGTGGAAGTGGAGTCAACCTTGGAGGAAGGTACTAGTCCATTGCCAGAGTGTCCTGAGGACTTACCTGATAGGGTATATGATCAAAGGTTGCTACATTGTGTCAACTGGTCAAATCAAGCTTGAATTGGTGTTACCAACCTTGGTAGACATCAATGTGGTCAGGGAAGATGGCCCGAGCCAGGGGTTAGATGATTTGGCAGAACTCGAGGAAGATTTGGATAACCTACAGTTCTTTGATGAGCAAGATCAGGGAGATATGCAGATTGGGTGGTTCGACCTGAATGGATCAACTAACAACAGTGGATGGCTGAGTGATGAGCCAAACAAGAAAGAAAAACTGGAATAAAACCAGAAGGAAAGGGAGCAGAGATAGCTGTAGTAGCCGGAAGGGCTGTTGAGAAAGAAAAGCTGCATGAGGGCTCTAGTGTAGAAAACCCAGTCCAGAAAGTGGACATTATGAGCACTGTGGATACCAACCAGGAAGCTGCACTGAGGCAGTTTAAACGAGAACTGATTGAAGCCAGCCAGGAAACTATAAATTCAAAAAACCCTATAGGGGATACCTATGATGTGAAGGTGATACAAGCAGAGATAGCTATGGTGGTGCAGTGGCAACAACTTGTGGCAAATCAAAGTTGGTCCCTTTGATATGCGCGTATGCTTTCACAATCTCAACAATGGAAGCCCCAATGCCACCAGCAACATCAACTAGAGATCCAATGTAATCAAACCCATGTTTATATTCGGATATCAAAGCCTTGATCGTGATCTTAGCAGTACATTCCATGCCATCATTAAAGACCTTGTTGAGCTCAGGATCGATCGATGCAAAGTCCCACAACTCACCCTCATGGGCCATGTGGAATGCATTACCACCCTCTTGTATAGATCTGGAGAGGAATTTATATGGTGTAGTTAACAATGGATGGTATTACAATAGGCAAAGCAAAGGTGCCAGGGTTAGTTGTTGTGGGTTGCGTAAAAGCCATTTAGAGCAGTGGTTGAAGTTGTAGAGAGTCTCTTCTTCTGAATCCGAATCTGATTGGGGATTTGTGGCGTCGAAGAGTTTTTTGTGGACTAAGAACCTCATGAGGCGGGAGAGGTGAGCGAAGTCTAGCCATGGTGAGGAGGCAACGTCGTTGGCGATTTGGGATAAGGTGATAGGGCAGCCGCGTGCTTGGTTGATGTATGCTACACCAAGATCCAAAGCACACTTCAAAGCAATTGAGTCCACAAAATGATATATGCATTGCCATATTTTTGTTTGGCCTCGTAACATGGCTTCTGCTTCGTTCGCCATTCTCTCTCTATCTCTGTGTGTGTGTGTAGAGTTCACTGATATCTGTTTCTTTGTTGCTGCTATTGCCGAATGCATGGCTTCCTTTAAAGCCATCAACACGTTTTTCTTTTTTTTTTGGTCCAATAAAATTAGGGTATGGTAATTGTTAACGTGTTTGAGTTGGAGATTGACTTTAAGAAATGAACATTGCTATATAAGTCTAAAAATTAGACTCAATTTTTAAGATTATAGATGTGACAATCAATTATGATATTTAAGTTAATATACTCTCTCATATTTTCTTAATCATTAACCAATTATATCACTTACACATTATTAAATTTAGAAAATAAATTTACAAAATAGATTTGTATATCATTTTCCTTATAAAATTTGTTTGTGTGTGGGTTTTCGTGAAGGAAAGCAACGTTGGGTTGGGTGATGGTGCTAAGAAATTTTAAAACCCGTCAATCTATTCACAAATTTTATTCACTTTCAATTTATGAAAATTTCAATCATAAAAGACTTATATCAAGTGGGATTGATACAGTCTGATTAGATTTTGTATATTTAAAAAAATTTAAAATTATTTTGCTTATGGCTCCATTCGATAAGTTAGTTGGAGCTAATTTAACCCACTAAAAAATGAAATAGACTAAAAACTAAACAAGATAAATTGTCATATCCAAATTATAATCATTTTACTTTTTTTCCTCACAAAATTACAACCAAAAAAAAAAAAATCAAAAGTTCTTTCCAAACGGAACTTTTTGAGTAAGGTTAAATTAGTTAAAAAATCAAAAAATCGAACTAAAAAATTTCTTAATTGTTATTTTTGCTATTGTTGGGGGGTTTGTACAGAGTAGTAGTAAAAATCAAAATTTGTTATTTTGTCAAACTATGTGACAAATTTGGCACAAAGTTTGGTAATGTTATAATTCGTTGGGGAGTAGTACAAAGTAGTAGGAAAAATCAGGATTTGTTATTTTTCCAAACCATGTGTTAAATTTGGCACAAAGTTTAGTAATACTATAATTCGTTGGGAGGTGGTACATAGTCGCAAAAAAAAAAAAAATCAGAATTTATTATTTTGCCAAACCATGCGCCAAATTTAACACAAAGTTTGGCAATGCTATAATTTGGCAATTATTTTGGCATGCCATTGGAGCTTTTTGTTGGGTTCAAATTGTTATAAAATAGCAACCATTATAGTAACTCCATCGCAGTTGCTCTTAACATGACATGTGAACATCTGTCCTTAAACCATGTGAACTTGTTGTTCTCTTCTCATGTTTTGATGAGGCAAAAAAATTCACATTTTCTTGGCATGTGAACATTCCCTAGTCTCTTCTTAATCATTCTTGCCACATTGATAGGAAAATTTGGGAACCTACAAGAGCAAAGTTCATGGACAAAATGTTTAAAAGCATATTCCATCTATAATTTGATTAAGGGCACCGTTTAATTTATTTTAGGGTAAATTATAATTTAACCCCCTGTGGTTTGCTTAAAAAACACGGAGCCCCCTATAGTTTCATTTGTAACACTGAAACCCCCTATACTTCATACCAAAGTGCAATTTTCGACGAAACTATTTGTTTAAATAGAACATGTGTTACACAACCATGAATGGTGAGTGGAATAGTTTTTACCACCCAAAAACATATGACAAATGACCAAAACACCCTTATTGTCATATATATACACAGAATGGCGTTGTGTAGTAGAGCATGGATTACACTCTTGGCGAAACATTAACATCTGTATTCCCAAACGAAATTCAGTGTTTGAGCATGGGTTTCATTTACCTCAAGCATTAACATCCCTTGAGCATGGGTTTCATTTACCTCAAGCATTAGCATTCTTTTGTTTGTTTCATTTACCTCAAGTTCTCTCTCTTTCTCATTATATAAATATACAACAATATCACCTTTTATTCTCCTCTTATCTCACCACCATCACCTTCCATGTAAAATCACAACCAACCAACATCACCACCATCATATTCCATGCAAAACCATCACTCAAAACTACCACCACAACTTCTCTCTCTAAAAATTATCCACGACCAACTTCTTATTCCACTCAAAATCACCACTCAAAATCACCACCACAACTTCTCTCTCTAAAAATTATCCAAACCCACTTTTCTTCTTATAATTCAAATTAACAAACCCAACCCATGAAATCAAACAGTTAATATGTGTAAACATTTAGATTTGTGAAATAGCATTGATGGGATTCATACCAACCAAACCCACTTTTTCTTCCCGTTTTCGACATTTCTCTGGCCCATCTTTCGGACTCCATAACTTTCTCGATTCTTAAAGATTTTATCCCATTCTTTCACCAATTTCCTCACCTTGCTTTATACTTCATCCTACATTACCTCGTTTTCTCACTTCTTCCTGAAATGGGTGGTTTCGGCATACCGAAAGTTATCCGAAAACTAACTTCACACATTTCAAAGAAACATCTCCAAATCTATTTCTTTCTTTTTCATCATCCACTCTCTTCTATTGCTTCATCCATAGCACTTTGTAAAGGCTGGTTTTTGGTTTTGACGGAGCAGAAAATATATATATATATATATATATGTATAAAAAGAGAGAGAAAGAAAGAAAGAGAAGTCAAAGCTTGGGTTCACCATTTATCCTTCTCCTCATGTGTCTACATGTTAACTTAGCAATGCTAGATTCTTCAGTTTCTCATACAAATGTCATATGGAGTTGTTATGGTAGTCATGATTTTAGTGACGTTTGTCATAGCATTATTATTTGTTTTCATCGACATAAAACTAGGATAATACTAGTTAACATGAAGTTGAAAATTATTGTTCTTTTTAATTGAGTTTCAGTGAAATATTAGCACCACTGCTACCTGTGGTTGATATAAAAAAAAAAGCACTTTTGCTACCTATTAAAGATGGCATGAATTTTGCTCAATATGTGCATCAAAGTTGTGACTAGAAACATTGTCATTCTAGCTATGGTTTTGTTGATTTAGGTGCAGCTAACTTTGTTCATTGCAGGTCTCTACTGCAATTGTGGAGCCTTATAACAGTGTTCTTTCTACGCACTCTCTCCCTGAGCACACAGATGTGGCTGCGCTTTTGGAGAATGAAGCCGTTTATGAAAGCATACCATGACCAACTATCTATACCTGAGATCACAAATTCAGTGTTTGAGCCTTCAAGCATGATGGCAAAATGCGATCCGAGGCATGGGAGATATATGGCTTGTTGTTTGATGTACAGTGGAGATGTTGTTCCAAAGGATGTTATTGCAACTGTTGCCACTTTCAAGACCAAACGGACTGTATAGTTTGTTGACTGGTGGTTTATAATGACATTAAGAAGAAATTAGAGAAATAAATAGGGGTAATTTAGACTTTTTAACAATTTTTGTTACATCCGTCCAAAATTGCACTTTGGTATGAAGTATAGGGGGTTTAAGTGTTACAAATGAAACTATAGGGGGGCTCTGTATTTTTTGGGTAAACCACAGGGGGTTAAGTTATAATTTACCCTTTATTTTATTATTATTATTTTTAAATATTTAGATAAAGCAATCCCTTTTTATGTTTTTCTTGAGGGTTTACACTAAATTCCTAATTTATTATAATAAAACTCGTTGGTTTGCATCTTGAATTAAATCTCTAATTTATTGAAACAAGAAGTTGAACTGTGTACGTTATGTATTTTTGTTTAGAGATAATTGTTGAAAAGTCCAATCTAAGGAGGGTTTGACATTAGGTTCAGTGAATATTTTTTTGTTTGTGAAACGTCCACCCTTTTCGAAATAGTTTGCTTTAGATGTCATTTTTTGTTTTTTTTTTTTTTTTTTTTTTTTTTTTTTTCAATTTTGCTCATTAATTTATCCGTTGAATTTTTTATTGGTTGATTTTTGTTAAATATCTATTCAAATTCTTTTCGTATCTGTTCAAAATTTTTCCTATCTGTTCAATTTTTGTTTACCTTATCTGTTTATTTTTTTAATCTTTTCAATTCAAATTTCCTTTATCTGTTTAAATATTTTTCCAAATAAATTCAAAATTTTCATGTTTATTGAAATTGTCATTTTTAACTTATCTTTTCAATCTCATTTTGAGCAAATCATATTTTCTATTCAATTTTTTCACTTATCCATTCAAATATTTTTATCTATTTAATTTTTTTTTATCTGTTCAAATCCTATTATCTATTTATCTGCCATTTTTTAATAGATCTGTGTATCTGACATTTTTTTTAAAATTTTTTTTGTTGCAATATGCTTCATCATCATCATCAGCAACAACAACAACAGTAAAAACAACAAAAAATAAATAAATCTAAGTCATTAAAAAAAAAAAGAAAAAAAAAGTGAGAGAGCTCTCTGTTGAAATTTACTAAACATATTTTCCTTATCTACTAAATTCTTGTTGAGTTCCGGTACTCTGAAAGTACTATAGAACATGTTCTCTGTCTTTAATCCAAGGCAACCATCTCTTGAAAATTTAAATCAAGAACAATCAAACCAGAACAAATACACAAGCAATCACAACAACAAATATATATATATATATATATATATATAAAAGAATTGAAAACATGATTTTTTCACTAAAATTTAATTTGCTAAATTCATATATATATATAGTGTGATTTTTTTTGAGCAAAACTAGAAACATATATTTGAGAGAGAGGGAGAGATCGCTAGAGTGAGAGAGAGAAAGAAGGAGATGCCGATCTGGAAATTGAACTTCGTCAGTGGTGCAAAACCTTAACCCTAGAGAGAAAGATGAGAAGTGAGAGAGAGAGAGAGAGAGAGAGAGAGAGAGAGAAGGGAGTACGAAACATGAACTTGAACTTAAACTTTGCTGTTGTCTTCTCGTTGTTGAATAGCTCAACCCATTGTTGAACAATGCCTCTCACTCGTCATTTTTGATCGGATGAGAAAAAGTGCTAAGGAGGGAGGGAGGAAGGGAGAAAGAGACTGACGGTTTGACGATGAGAAACAGAGAAAATAGAACAGAGAGAGAGAGAGAGAGAAGACGGGAGGGTTTGATCTCCCCAAACGCTAATACTTGAGCGACAGAGCTCTTCTATCTGCACCGCTGCCATGGGAAGAGCACGA